TAACTCATAGAAATTCTATATCCGACCTGAAGCTCATTGAATAACCTCCAAATTGAGAGATTAACCACTTTATTTCAGCCATTTTTCGCAGACTTATGAAAGTTTTAGACGAAAACTGATATTTCTATTGAAATAAAAATCACTATGATTTGTTTGGATATTTCTCAATCCAAATTAATGAAATCTACTTGTTATGATTCTTGATTTAATTAAATCTTAATCGGTTCGATTAAGGGCTTAATATTCGATTTGAATCAGGAATTTTTCTGTGTATAGACATTACATTGGTTCCATTCGCTGGGATCATTGCAATTTTTATGTAGTTTCTTATTGGTGCAGTTGTCAAGTGAGTTCGATCAGTCGATGCAATCAAGAATTTGACTCAAGAATTCCAGATTGAAGAACAGATACAAATATTCGTATCAATTCTTTAGTGTCGAATGCAGTGTCAGAACCACGCAGCCTAACTAGCGCGCGCGAGGCGCACGTCTTGCTTAGTATCTTTAAAACTTCGCAACCGATTCCACTTTTTTTCAAAATATTCATCTTGATGTCCTCTACCTAGATTAATTAAAACATATATACCCGTTCATACAAAGTGTTCGAGATATTCCCCTTTTTCTGTCTTTTCATTAAAATCCTTGTTTTTTTTTTAAGAATTGGTATAGATCCATTCGGAAGTTTACTACCAATGGAATTGGTAGAAATGAAAAAAAGAAACCGAGTTATAACACATAAAGAAACAGCCAGATGACTTCTACCAAAAAGTCTCGAACCCCTGCTTGTTTTCATATCAATTCGATTCTTTCGGAAAAATTCCCGATCCGCGAGAGTCATTTTGCCATTCGAAATAAAACCATAAGTTATGAATGAACTCAATTTTCAAATTTTAATGTCACTATTTTGGCCCGAGCAGCGGTTTATTTCCCTTTTGTTACGCACTTGTGTTTCAAGTGGTAACATTACGAGACTTTCGTTCCGGTATTTCGTTCCAAGCAGTAACATTACAGGACTTTCGTTCTAGGGTTTCGTTCCTGGCAGTAACGTTACTCAATTTTCATTCCAAGATTTCGTTCCTGTCGAAAATGTTACTCAATTTTCGGTTCTGAATTTCCTTCCTAGCGGTAACGTTACTCAACTTTCGTTCCTTAATTTCGTTTCTGGCGGTAACGTTACTTAATTTTCTGTCCTGAATTTCGTTCCTGGCGGTAACATTACTCAACTTTCGTTCCTGGAGTAACGTTACAATTTAGTTTCGTTTGTTACCTTAGGAACGAAACGGAAACAGAAACGCGTTGCAGGTCCCTGCTTCTTGGAGAGAATGCCCAGAATTCAAGAAGGACGTTCACAACCTACCCGCAAACTAATGTGCAGGATTCCTTTCACATCGATGATTTACTTTTAGTCCATACGCTATGAAAAATCCCGTATACACTTTTAGATCCATTGGATTTGCTCATTGGACTTTATGTTTTTGGAGTCCCTGAAAACGAATATGTTCACCGTTTCTGTGAAATGTAGCTATTTTTATTCTTTTATAACAATTTACTTGTTTATAACGCGATTTCGCAGAAACGGTCCGAGTTAGGCGAAAAAGCTTCCAACAAAAAATGTCCCTCGTCTAAAAATACGTATATTTTGTCTATTTATTTTTAGTTTTATCTCTCAGTTATTGAGTTATCACCTCTAAAAGGATGTCACGGAAAACGGAGACGCGCAATGATCCACATTTAATATTATGAGAACGGGAAGACAAATCGAAAAACTGTCCTTAATTACACTATATAAATCGCCCATAAGCTTTTCAATGCTGCAACTGTTGGATTATTTGGACTACAAATGAAGAAGTGACGGACATAGCAACGCGTTGATATTCCCATACTCACGATTCACGTTATAAAGTGAGATTTTGTTTTCGACGTTGGCAGCGCCGATCCAACTGAGCTCCACATTCAACGTCGCAACGTGAGGTGTTGCCAACAGTGCATTCAAATGTGGGTTATGATGTGTTTATGAAGAATTCCAGGAAACGTTTCATTTAAAATCATTTATTAGAGTGAAACGAAAAATCAACTCTGTTTCATCCATTTTTTCTTTGACCGGAAATTCCAATTCTTCTTGTCATATCTATATCTGGATCTCGGAGATAAAGATAGTTTGTTTGATAATTGTTTGAGGTTATAGTTTATGTTCGAAAACTGGGAATTTCTAGGCATCGAAAATTGTGTGATAAAGAATTAAGTATCCGTGGATAGTTGAAATTAAAAACAAAATATGTATTTTTTTCGAATGATATCAGAAAATGTTTTCAATTTCGTGGAAAAGGATGCTCTAAATTGGGTTAACAGATGTTTTTATGAAAACTTTTCAAGTAAATAGTTTCTACGACTGTTTCTGAAAGGAAATCACTCTATCTCTAAAAATAATATAATCCTCGCAGAAAATCAACGAAAAAATTTAATAGAAGAAACAAATTAAATCATAAAATCTTGAATGCATAATTAAAAATTGGTGGAAATAATAAATCTGGAGTAAAACTGTTTGTCCTGCTTCGATTGTTGAGTGGAAAGATGTTCTATCTTGTGAAAAATAAATTAGTTCAATTGAATTAAAAAGAAAAAATGTTACAGGATGTAAAAATGATTCCTTATTTATTTTGAACAAAATAATTAAATCTGCCTACCGACGGCCGTGGCTGTGTGATTGGAGTATGGGATTGGCACGTGAGCGACCCGGGTTCGATACCCGGCTGGGGAGCCAAAATTTATAACACTCTAATCTTACAGTTTCAATGCCCTGGTGATAACAATTCTTAAATTCCTATTAAAAAAATAAGAGGAAATCGGAAAATGGGTGTGCTTTTGACTATTCCCCATAGTTTCCGATTTCCTCTTATAAGGACTTGCACATTCTGGATTGAATAAGAAGTTAGTGGTTAATTCATTAAAACCCATCATTCTTCTGGTGATAAAAAGGTGAAAAGGTAATGAAGAGAAATAATTTTAAATACTTACTGATAAACACAGGCCATTCAAGCATGGAAATTATAGGATAGAATGGGTCAATATACTAATTCCTATAGATGAGAATGAGGTCAATTAATCTACTCGAGTAAGAAATGAGAATTAATGGAATTCTTCCTTGAGAGCTCCTTCGTTTTTGTAAAGGATATTATGCGAGGGCAGTCAATCGGAAATAAGATACAATTGTACACGCCAAGTGATATTAATGGGAATGCTCTAAAATACTGATTGATTAACGGCCGCCATTTGTCTATAAAGGAATTGAAAGATTTAATGGATCAATCTATTGATTCCTATCAAGTGTAATTAGATTAATGATCCGCTCACTATCGAATAGTAATTAATGGAGATCGTCATTCAAACCTTTTATTGCAATTATGATAATATCATCTAGGGACAATTAATCGGAAATTAAGGATAACGGATAGGTGGAAATGGTATTAAGGGGACTATCTCTAAATACTTACTAGCCATTCGAGTACACGTATATGGTGAGATTTAATGAATCAGTATGTTAAAAAAATTGTGAGATTCAATGGGTTAACGTATGAATTCCTATCGAATGGGATTACAGTAATTATTGCCTTTACTACTCAATAGGAATTGATAGAAATCGACGTTACTTTTTTCATTTTTATGCGACCAACGCAAAATCATTCAAGTGCGAAGGGAGGATATAAACTATATCTTTGGTGGAAATAAATCTTTAATTCTTCATGTAATAAATAAGAGCTAATCAGGAAATGGGTGTATTATTGTCTGTGCCCCCAAAATTCCCGATTATTTCTCATAACAGTTGGGGCAGGCTGGTTTAAATAGGAAAGTAGTAGCTGGATACATTGGAACCTATAATTTCTCTGGTGATAGAACGGGCGCGGTGAGTAATAGGTATTGAAGGAAAAGAATCTTCAATACTGACTGATAAACGTAAGCCATTTGAGTATGGAAATTATAAGATTAAATAGGGTGATATCTCAATTCCTACCGGGTGAGAAGAGCGCAATTATTTTCTCAAATGTTAAATAGGAATCAATGGAACTCATCATTGAAACCATATTTGTAATTTATGATGGTATACCTGCGGATACTCAACCGGAAATAAAGCACAAGGATGTAAACGAAGCGTTTTCAATGGTGATGCCCGGCAATACCTTCTGATGGATGGAGGGATATTGAATTGTAGGCGTTATAAGAATCAATGAAAATCATCATTAAAACCTTATCTGCTTTAATGACGGTAGTGCCCGGGGGCAATCAATCGGAAATAAAGCGCAATAGTATAAGTACACAGGTTTCAATGGAAATGCCCTGAAATACTTACTACTGAAGAGGCCATCTGCGTATAGCAATTAAAAGACTCAATATCTCAATATATCACTTCCAATTTAATGGAATTGCAACAATCATCTGTTCAAATACCGGATAGGAATCAGTGGAAATCATATCTTTCAAACCTTTTTTTGCACTAAGAATCGTAGTTACTAGGGAGAATCAATCGAAAATACGCCGTAATTACATAATTGTTAGAACATGAACTACTAGAGATACTATTCAAATTTATAACAACAAAAACGAAAACCATCATTTTGAAATTTCAAATGTCGAAAAATATTACACAGTCCCTAGTGATTTTATAATCACCAGCAATTGATAGTCGAGAGCAATTCAGAAAAAATCGAGACCACTTCAAAGACATTTTGTGTGTATTTATACATAAAAAGTGCTACTCTAACAATTTCACAAGTTTTGACATAACAGTGAAGCTATTCTTCCCCAATCTCGAGGGAGAAACTCTTGCGTTTTAGTAAAAAAGACCGTCGGAGGAGACATTTTTAAAACGTGAAATAGTGATAGATGACCAAATACACTTCAGGTCTCAAGCAGAAATCAGCAGTCACTTATTACAGATACGACTTTTTGTAGTCGCTTAAAGTGAAGAACGACATAAAAAACGACTTACCAATCACTCACGCTCTAGCGCTGATATTGATACAATCAGTGATGTTGTTCGAGTTACTCTTTTCGCAAGTACGTATGAAATAATGATTATTTTATATTCCTTTTTCTCCTTGTCAACTCTCCATAAAGTTGTACTCTATGATTTACTCGTCGTTTCAGTATCTTATTCTGGTACATTTCTCCTCCGTCGAGGAGGCTTGTTCATGTCCTTAATCTTCTCCGCCACATAACGTGGGATTTTCCCCAATTCCTCTTGAATTTTCTTCTCGTCACTCCATTGTCTGTCATTTTTTAAATGAACATAGTAGATATCTGCAAATTGATAATTTGACATTTATATTATTCTTGATCATTTTTGTGTCCATAGAGGGGGAGAGTAAAGCAAAATAGAATTGGAACATCCACATAAAACGTAGTCCAGTTAGTAGAGGAAAAAGAATAACAATTATCCATATATTGTCAATTCGCGAAATGTGAATAAACCGAGAAACATCGCGAATTGAAAATAAATTCATATTATTATTAATTACTATTTTTATTATTTTCTCAATATTTCATGACCTTCACCAACTTAATAAAAATAACGGAATTGAACCTCGGAAATGACCTCGGAGTTAACTTTAGTACAACGTAGTCTCATTTTTCCCCGCTTGCCCCAAATATGAGTCATCCATCACTTGATCGCACTTCAGTCATTATATTTTTTACGGGAGTATTTAATATTCATTATACCTCTGATGGCAATCATTTCCTTCGGGGGAAGGGCTTCTTTCGTCTGACCTGTACGTGGATCTTTCCGACCGGTCACACTCTTTGTCCTCATTTCCTCTCCAAAGATGGCTAAGCTTAAATTCTTAATAAATGGGCTACAGGAACGAGCCTCACATCTTACTCTGTTATAAGTCTCTTTCGATAATCATATATTCTGTCCCAAATGGATGATGTCTTCCTATAAGAATGAATGTCAAAGACCAAAATGATTGATTATATGAGAACGATACATCCCGAAACCAACATTTCATCATTTGTAATTGAGTAAAATTTATATTTATCATGTTTTTCGTTCAGATCTGAATGCAAAAACTTACATTATTAGAATTCTTCCTGCAAAAACCACGTTGAGGTGGCATCCCAAATCGTCTGATTCCATCACGAGGATCTTGAACTGGTGTATCTGTAAGTAAGTCATACGTAACAAACAAATACCGAGAAAATCATTAAGGATTATTCACTAGTTTCGAATGATCCTTACTTGTCAATTCATTCCAATTGTCGCTCAACAACGCCAGTTTTTCCTCAATAAGTTGCTGAAGTGCAATGTTACGCTTCCGTAGTTTTTTCAAATCCTTTCGGATGCTTGTTATGGCACCATTAACGGTAATTATTGTTGATGAAGCTTTCTGTTTATGAAAAATTCGATCTGTCGATGAACAATTCGCGAGCGTACGAGCTTGTATCAAATAAGTATCACCATACTCCCAAAATAGTTTATCAGGTATTGTAGGAGAAAAGCAATGATCATTATCATGCTTTGATTATGCATTGTCGTTCCAAATGATTAGAAATGGTTGAAATGATCTTATGAAAAATTAACCCATGTATAGAAGTGAACAAGTACGGAACAAAATGAAAAGCATGAAAAAAAGTTTTCACATGCTACCAATAATGAAAGAAAATGTAGGAAGCGTTTTAGGTACTTGAACACATTTGTAGCAGCTCCCCCCCCCCCCAGTGACTCCATTGTAGTTGTAAGGTTTTACAGATACTTCGCGTCCATGAATATAACAAGTGCGATTTGTGTAAATAAAGTTGTGAATTTTTAGAACTTTATCATTCTGTAATTGAATCACTGTATCATCTGTCCTCCTTGGTCTGGTATAGTTGATACTGCGTAGCACAATCCCATTATAGGTCGATCGAGAGTACAATGTCACGGATTGTTCATTGCACTCGAAATTCTCAGCAACCAAATTTGCAATTCTAATGGATCCAATTAAAGTCACATCATTGTTGGTTATTATAGCATTCTTCAGTAATTTTTGGTTCCATAAATTCATACAATAATCATGGCAAATATTAGATTCGGTATTATGCGGAATGTTCAATCGGATCACCTGCTTCTTCATGTATTTGTTGGCGATTTGATGTGCAACACCGTTAGGTGATAGTACCTCCTGCTTGAAACGAAAGATACCATTTTCGAATGGAAATGTTGAATGTGTCCACGAAGGGCCGCATTTTCTTACTGAAACTCACAAATGTAACAATAAAGGTAAATTAAATTTCATGAATCCCTTTCCATAGAGTCGCTGACAATCTGCAAAAAACTGCAGTAATTGAATTTCACATAGTTGAATTTCGATCTCACTTATACTTGTTGTTAATAACGCAGCAATACTCTTCACTAATAATAAATATGACCGGAAACATTCGTCTTCGAGGATCCCCTCTAAACAAGGTATACTATCGTGTAACAACCAAGACTTCCATTCGGTAGCTTTCTATTTGGGACCATCTTTCAGTGGTCTTGGTAGACGATGTATTTCGTGGGGTCGTTTGATCTTCAATCGGCGCTGTTCAATTGTTTGACGATCAGTTGTATTCAAATATCCTCTACACGTCGGATTTGTCCACATACTCCACAATGATTTTACAGTACCTAAGAGAATTCCATGCATGTATTCGGGCGGGAAACTCCATACAAGATCTAAATGCTTCAAATTGCTGAAAGCTGTTGGTCCTTTAACCCCCCGTATAATCCTTCCAGTTTTACATGCGACTTTCACATCTGCTACATGCGATGCATGAGTTCTGAGTTCTGCAGCTTCTCCGCTCAATAGATATCTCATTGATTTTTCATAATAAACTCCAGGATCATAGCACCAGCTACAGCCGTAGTGGCCATTGAATTGGAGCCGATTTTGAGCTACCGGTCTAGCCACAGAGTCCATCGGGGCTAATAAGGGACTGAGTTTGAGTCTATACTCATCATCAGTAGAGTGTCGAGTGAACTTTATCCCATCAAATGCCGATTTTGAACAGTCATCAAATGCCGATTTTGTTTGAAGAATGTCGAGATGTATAAATTCATGAATTCTGCTTTTGGATCTTTACTCGTGAGAAATAATCCGCCCAAAATGAGATGTTGAAATCGAATCTTCGGAGATAATTCATTAAGATGCAATTGCAACGGCCAAAATCCTCGGGTGGAACTCTTGAATAGAGGAGCACCATCGGTATTTATATTATACGTAAGCGTTCCAGGTACATGATTTTGAGCAGTTCTGAATAGTTCCCCATCAAATACATCACGTATTATTCCCTCTTCTGATCGACCCTGCAGTCTCCGTGAATTTTATCAAATGTTCTTGTACAGTTTCATCATTCAATAGCAACTTCAATTGGTATGACACATCAATCATCGTAAATTGATAAGGACTATTTTGTGCGCGTTTTGTTTGCAGTTGGCATTTTGTACACTTCAGTATTTCCCCCGTCTTTATTCTCTCATTCATTGGCTTGTAGGTTAATACTTCCCCACAATTCTCACAAAAGAAATGAACTGTCATTTTACTTCGAGGAGGATTATATATTTTAGATGAATGATAATTTGAGGCCTTCCAAAATTGGAATTCTGGACCAGCAAGTACTTTCACGAACTCTACTAGATCCTCTTGATCGTCTCTCGTAAAATTTGTTTTCACTGACAAAGTCATAATCATGAGGAGCACATCTGAAACCTTCAAATGTGATGCTGGAAACATCAGCCTATCTCCCTGTACTGAATCTGTATTGAAATGAAACATTGTCTCCTCATCGGCCGACGGATCAGAATTACTATCACTGTCACTACTGAGAGAAGAAGTATCACTAGAACTTTGTTCATAGGTACTTGAGAATACTTCAAGCTCTTCCTCTGTTTCATCACTATCATCATCACGGTCGTCATTAATGATCGCATCATTACGCGAACTATCTCTTTGCTCATGAACTTCATTTTCATGCCATCTATCATCGTTGATAGGACTATGCGATGTAGTTGAAGGAGTAGATGATTCGTCCATCTTTTCACTTGGATCACTACAGCTAGTATCACTAGATTGGATTTCCTTTGCTACAAAAACAATCGATAAGTAGGTACAATTTTTTTCTTGCCATCTACCACTCGCTTCTCACCTGTTACCGAATTGACCCTATATTTCCTACATTTTGCCCAACGTTGTTGTGTGCTCTTTGATACTAATCCTTTTTTCTGGGGGGACAATAAAAATCGTTTCCTGATTTTCTTCTGTTCCTTGGGTACCTGGATATTTAGGGCTCTTGCTCTTTCCTACGACAACAAAACGATCAGATTGTCTGGAGGATATTCAGATGAACGATGAATAATATGTAATATGTGCGATGAAAGCCAACGCCCAAAACGAAATCTCAAAAACTACTATACGATTCTATCAATGAATAATCTTAAGCCTTCAGTTTCATAATTACAAAAAAACCTTAGGAATTGAATGTTTTTGTTTCTATTCGCCTCACATTTATCACCCCTCCCCCCCTTTCCCCATTGTGATTCTTAATGGAAGGTCAATTAGAATCTGATGCTTAAGACGCAACCTGAAATCCTGCAACTTACCCGATATTAAGTAGTTCAATTGTCGTCTGGGGAAATGAATAAAACCGGTCAACTATTTGACTAGAAGACAATTTCCGGTTTACGCAGTAGCGAAAGTTACGGGATCGATTGAATTCAGAATTAACTTTTAGAAAGGGTTCGAAAGCAAGTTAAAATATCAACAATGTCACTCCGCGTTCATGATACATTAAACGATATACATATGACACGCGCAATCAATCTATACATGTTTCTACATTTGCCAAAATAAATTCAGTCAGAATGAAACGCATGATCTATATATGATCAGTGGAATGACTATTGGAAGAATTATACATCTGTCTGTGCCGCACGTAGAAAGTAACTATGATTATAGATATGAAATTGAGCAAAATTGTCGAAAAAAGTGAAACATCCAATATCGAACTAAAAAATTTTGTAGAAAAAATTTATATTCATTATATCATATGACCGCTTGAAGATACACCCACTTGATACATCCGAAAAGCATATCAACTTGATGAGAGATTTCGATATTAATGATTAGTGATATGGAATAATTTGTCATTATATATGGTCTTACATTTTCTCGATTGATCTCGTCTTTGTTAATTTCTTCTCGAGATGCTGAAAATTTGGAAACGAAAATTCAACGTATGGAGAACTACCGAATATAATAACATTTTGAATCATATTATTCTCGTACCTTTTACAGATAGAATTATTACTTCTTCCTGATTCACCAAGTGGCTAATTTGATTCTCTTCCCAAGGAATTTTAAAATTGAGAATCAGCTCTATTGGAACAATTGTGTAGACTCCTGTCTGACATTTCTTTACTAAAGCGTATTTCATCTCAGACATAGTGAAATCTATTGAAGAATGAAGATAATAATATAAAACTTTAGACATTCTCTTAATTTGACTCTAAATTCAAAGAAAATTGAATCAATATACTTTTTACTACTAGATATGTCAAATATCTTGACAGTTGTAGGAAATTTACATTTTTAACTCGATTAAGTGGGCCTTTTTCATGCAGAGGACATACATATGATTTTCGAGCCTAATTTTTTTTTCTCATTTCATTAGATACCTGAAAAGAGAAACGTTCACCAAATTTCAACTTCCCTGCTCACCATTTGACTGAGATATGAATGATGGCATTTTCCATAGAATCGCAATTTTTATTCTTTTTGATCGAAAATATGCCACATTGAGATACATGAAAAACAAAAGGAAAATATAGTTTAGAGTCAAGAAAAAACCCATCTTTACGATGAACATCATGAATTTTCGTTTCTTCAACATCTTCTCAGTAAAAAAAGCATCCGAAAACTTTCAAATTTTATACCGTGTTCCCCAATTTTTAAAAGAAAAGCTTGAATTATGCTATTTATACATTTTTTCATTTGATTCCACTTTGTCCCGCCGTTCCACTTTGCCTCGTTCTCTGCTATATTTACATAAACATATGCATGTACATATACATTTGAATGTTTATTTAAATTTATATTTAAATACATATGAATTTTTTAATTTGAATGGATATGCATATTTAAATTTAAATTTTCATTCAAATATAACACATATCAATATGATCGAAGCTCAATATAGAACGATAAAAGATAAAACACGAACAAGATAAAACGGCTCAAATACAACGTTACATGGTTTACTAAAAAATGGATGTGTAATTTATGACTTACGCTTTCCAAAACAAATGACTGCAATGATTTAAATTACCAGTTTTTTAATGATTTCCGTTAAGGAACCGG